ACACACACATACACACACACACGCACACACACACACACACACAAACACACACGCTCGAAATTACTTTTTTAAAATCGAGTTGTAAGCAACGTTTTACCCATCTTCTTTCATCAAACATTAATTTGATGTACATGTATTTTCAGGTGATGATCTCTTACCGTGCCAGCTACACCTTAGCTTACTGGAGGTAGAGATTTGGCCAGCCTCCATGTTGCATACAGCTCTCGGCCGACGATCTCTGCTTCTGTTTTTTCTTTGCGTAGTGTTAGCTCTCCTGGAATGTTTGCGGGGAGAAGTCTTCTCCTCGGTGTCTAAGGTTCGAGCCTTGATACAACACGAGGCCCAGCTGCTCAAACATTTGGAGCGAGTTGTTGAGATATCAGAGAAACTGCAGGAAGAGCCAGACAGGCTGCTAAATCTCAGGCGGTAAGTGTTTCACGCGACTTAAAAAACAATTTTTGTTTTGTTTTCTTTCGGTTTTTTGTTTGTTTATTTATTTTGTAATGTATGTTTTTCAAATCATTTTCGACACAATCTTACGTTTTGACACACATTCCGAAAGCAAAAATATCTAGATTTTTAAAGTATGGTACTCTTGCCTACCTCTACATCTTTTTTTCCCACCAATGTCTCCAGGTACCGCAAGGCATTCAAGACCTGTGTGAAGGAATAGATCTATATGTTCTTAATTTACATATGTTATTTTCTTATTGTTTTTATTTGGCATTGTTATTGATTTTCTTTCCCTGATCAGGGACTTCTTTGAATTTGTATTGTTTTTCTTCTTTCGCACCCCCACCCCTTAAACCAGGTCACTGAAATGCCTCAAGGAGAGACACGACTCACACAAGGCTGTCCCGTGCCTGGGGGAGAATCCTGTCTTTGCCTTCTCGTACATCCGGAGACTGGTCAGAGACTGGGCACTGGTCACATCAACTGGCAACAAGTCGAGCGATAACTCCGTCCTTACAGGTTTAGATCATTTTTGTATTCCCAGGCTATCCAAATTAAAGTTTCTCCTGTATTGGAGTCTGGGGTTTAGTAGTCAATATCTATCTATATCATATTTGTGAAAATTCGTCACTTTGGTCGCCTAAAACATCCGAACCACTTAACTTTCAAATAAAAAAAAAAATTGACGGTGGTTCAGAATCATTTAAAGGGTGCACAGTTTTATTGAGGAGTCTAAAGTCACCGTAGTTTAATTTTCAGTTTTTCATTAGTTTTGTTTAGATCGAAACTTGGGAAAGTCCGTCTACTTAGACGCCATTGTGAACAAGGGAGGCTTCCGTTCACAAGCCATGAGCACTGTTTCCTCATCTTTGAAATTCTGGTGTGTACAATCACGAAAGTGGAATGAGCCTGAGGATTAATCTTTATTTCTTATATATTTGGCAACTTGAAAACACACGTGTCACTTTTCCCATAAAACCATGACAGCTACAGAGTTGAAAGTTGGCAAGTACTTGCAAAAAGATAGATAGGTCCCCATGACGGAGCCCGATTTTTGACGTATCATTTCCTGAGTTTAGACAAATATATTTAACAAAAATTTCCCGTCCTTCTTTGGCCTTTGTCATTATTCCACTGAGAAATGAAACAAATATGCGTTGCTGTCCACCACAGCTGAAGTGCTGGGAGTGATATTTCGCGTGGCACATTTTGTTTAGAGAGTATAGATCTAGACCTTCTTATTTTTTGCATCTCTCATGATTTATTGCTCCATTTCAGTAGTGTAAATATTTAGTAGGCCATTCACTTTCATTTGATGGTAATGCACCGGTCAGCCTTTCATCGAAAGGGGGTCCAGCTAGTTATCAAATCATATTTTTGTCGTCGCATGCAGGGCATGTGAGATCGATTTTCGAGTGGAGAGGTTTTTTTTTTCTCTCTTAAAAAAATCGAGCATTTTCGCTTTTCTGCTACAACGTTGTATCCCTCTCAGTTGAGGCTGGCCCTGGCAGATAAGGTCGAAGTAGCAAACCCACTAATTGACTGATCAAAATAGTGAGGTTGGGGGTGTAAAAGTTCTTCGTTTACACATGTAAAAGTCATTTTTGAGCATAAATGAGTAACCATTCCTGTATGGCATACCGCGTTTCGTTGAGTTAGGCTAAGGTCTCCGGACCTCTGTCTGTCTATCTGTCTTGTCTGTCTCTTTTTCCCCACGAACCCCCTGTGAATGTCTTGAAAATGATGTCTTAAGACAGGGGCAAATGTGTGTTTTAATCGACAAAATGCATTCAATGACTTGACTATCTTATTTCATTAAACAATATATTATATGTGTTTGTTTTATCGTACTTTTATTGAAAACAGATGGGTGATTAGAGGACGGCACGGGTAGATTCAACTTGCTTTCTTTCCCTCTGTTGTTTCTATCTGAGTGTCTATCTGTTCTCCCGCCCTGCGCTAGATAATGCCCATCATAACACTACTAAATTATGATAATTATTGTGCCGATGTGCTTCTTTTTCTTTTATTCTTTCTTTCTTTCTTTTTTTCTTTCTTTCTTTCTTTCTTTCATCTCACGTATTTCTCTTTTTCTTTCTTTTTTTTTCTTTCTTCACACAGACAATCTACGACGAATGCGTGAGGCGATCTCCAGATGGCACAGATGGCCTACAGAGGCCGACGTGTACGGCGCTGGGCTCAGTCTCCTGCGTCTGAGCTCCATCTACAAACTGTTCCCGCACAGCCACCCTCCTAAACGGGTCCAGGAAGAAGCTTGCCCTCACCATGCAATATCGGACTATTTCCAAAGCCTCCCGAACCGTCAATATAACTTAATAAATTACGACTGGAATTTTTCATCGCCGTTATTATATCACTCCGAGCTAAAAGGTCTTTCTCGTTTTGGGTGGCTGAGAAAACTCCCGTTGGGAGTCTGTGGAGCGAAACACAATAACAACCCTACAATTGAACGCCGAGACAACAAATGCAAGCCTTCAAACAACTGGCTGGAAGTGGATGACTTTGTTGCTGTTGCCCAAAGTGCAGTAAATAATTCACTGCACAAGGAAGCTTTGAGTTGGATATCTCTGGCCCAGAAGTCGTGGGAGGTTGGCAGTGGATCTGACCTGTTCGAACAATCATCATCAATAAAAGATCTGCGGCGGAAAGTTGAACAAGCGCTAAATAAACAGAAGGGTAAATTTGTGTTACGTTACGCATGTGTTACGTTGTTGTAGAAAAAAGTGCTCTCTTAGAGAATGTCCCTTCTCTTTATACACGTCACTGTGTGCCTCTCTGCCTGCTTCCTCTGCCCCTCACTCATTCTCTCTCTTCTTCTTCCTTCCCTCCCCCCTCCCTCTCCCTCCTCTCTCTCTTTCTCTCTCTCTCCCTCTCTCTCTACCCCCCCCTCTCTCTCTCTCTATGAATTTTTAGCGTGGAATATTTTACTATAAACTTTCCGATTTTGCAAAGTAATACGACGCCAGCTGTGTTGTGAAAAAACGTGAAAACAAACCCATTTTAGTCCAGTGTGCTCACATTTTGATCGCATGCGCCGTAAAACTCTTTCCATACTAAACATACTCCCTCTCCCTCCCCTCCACCGCCCTCTTTAACTTTCTGTCTGTCTGTCTGTCTGTCTGTCTGTCTGTCTGTCTGTCTGTCTGTCTGTCT